TTATTTATGAGTGTACCAGTCAGGCATTAGGAGTTCTTAGTCAAGAACATGACCCCATCACATAGTATAGCCTGCAGTTAGACCCAATAGTTAGGGCATATTCTTTTTAAAAACAGTAGCAGCACAGTCAGACTAGCAGAGGTCTGATCTGAGCTAATTCTAGAGAATAAACTTTCTTTTCAAGTTCCAAATGCTGTGGAAAGTTTCTTTAATTTCAAACTCACCAGTTTTCAGAAAGTAGGCTAAAATTTTATGAAATTATTCCTTCTATTCTCTATCTAAAACTTACTTAACTCTGCTACTTTCACCAGGTGACAGAGAAGACCACAATTGTGTGGGTGGTGTGGTATCAGAAACAGTGGCCCCAATGTTGATTTACAAAAGATAATCCTAAAGTAATATATTTTGTTGATGGGTAATATGCAAAAAAAATCAGAAAGAAAATATCAAACAGGAGATGCAATCACAACCCAAAATGAATTAATAGAGGAAGAAACTCATTCCCAATTTAAATCAGCTCAACCTGCAGAGCTTTTTACTCTTACCCAACTCTGCTGTATAGCTAAAGATGAATTAATAAGTGTTTATACAGATAGCAGATATGCTTTTGGAGTAGTTTACAATTTGGACATGTTATGGAAATACAGAGTCTTTCTCATTTCTAATGGGAACCCCCCATCAAAGTGGACTCTAAGTAGATGAACTTTTTGCTATCCTTCTTGCATCACAAATTGCCAGTATTAAGATTGGAGCACATACCTGTAAAACAAACTGAGTATCAATGGAATGGCCTGGCAGATTTTCTTGCTTAATCAGCTAGTGTCCAAATGGTCAGAATGTGCAATTTTAATGAATTTCATAAGATTGATCCAAGTCAATTCCCCTATGATGAGTTATTTAATAGACAACACAATGCACCTGATTTGGAAAACAGAATTGGTATCTGAAAGTATACAAATTCAATGCTAAGTGTGAACTCACAGATGCCCCAGACAGTTACCTGGTATTTCCTGAGTCTTTGACACTTCAGTTGTTAAAAGCTATGCACTCCACAACTAACCATGGATCAGGCAAGATGACCCAAATTACAAAAAAGTTGGTAGGGTGATTGTCCTAAAAATGCAAAATAGTTTATTGCCAATGTTTGGTTTGCCAAGCCCATAATCCAAGGTAGACAACAAAAACTTCAGGTGGTATATTTCTACCACCTGATGGGCCATTTAAATATTTACAGATGAACTTCATTCAATTGCCACCCTCAGTGGGATAATAGTATGTTCTCATAATTATATGCATGTTTTTCTGGTTGGACAGAAGCTTTCCCATGTGGGAATTCTGATGCTATGACAGTAGCTAAGAACTTATCAGAACTTTTTTTTAAATCTCTTTTTATTAAAATGGAGCATCCCTGAAGAAGTCTCCAGCAACAGAGGAATCCACTTTACTGCAGTTAAACAAGGATAAATACAATGGCATTACTATTGTCCCTATTATTCTAAGTCTTTAAGTACAAATGGCATTTTTAAATAAAAATTGGCAAAGTCAACTGAATCAACTAGATTGCCTTGGCCAAAGGTACTAGCAATGACTTTAATGGCAATCAGATCCATTCCCACTTGGAATCATAGATTACTCTCCTATGAAATAAGAGAAGGTCTATGCCACTGATAGTAAATCCTTGTGTGTCTATTGCTTTCCTAAATTCTGAGATGACTAAATACTGAAAGGCTGTAATTCAGTAATGTATTATGCCAACATGTATTTTCAACAGGTTAAAAAAATTTTCTAATCATCAGAGAAATGCAAATCAAAGCCACATTGAGATATCACCTAATCCCAGTAAGAATGGCCATCATTAATAAACAACAACAGATGTGGATAAGGAGAAAAGGCAACCTTCTCCACTGCTGGTGGGAATGGAATGCAAACGAGTTCAACCTCTATGGAAAACAATGTGGCGATTTCTAAAACAACTAGAAATTGACCTTCCAAAATGACCCAGCAACCCCCCTACTGGGAATATACCTGAAGGAACTCAAAGCATTCTACAAAAAAGATACCTGCACACCCATGTCTATTGCAGCATTATTCACAATAGGAAAAACTTGAAGCAACTGTGCTGCCCATCAAAACTGGGCTGGATTAAAAAATGTGGTACAATAGAATATTATGTAGCCATAAAGAAGGACAAATATATGGACTTCGCAGCAACTTGGATGGATTTCGAGTCTATAGTGCTCAGTGATATGTCACAGAAACAAAGAACAGAATACACATGTTCTCACTTATAAGCAGACTCTGCGCATTTACCATAATGCTATAAGAAAGGGATTGTCAGTAACAAGATATTGCCAGGGTAGAGGTGGGGACACAATATCAATAAGGGTACCTGATCTCAAACCAGGCAAAATGGGGACCAAAGGGGGGTCCAAACTTTATCTGTACAATGTCCACTTGTATAACTAATCCTGAATTGTACCACATATCTTTAAAATAAAACATAAATTTTAAAAATCTCCTTGTAATCCAGTGGCTGAAGACAATCAAATCCTTCACAATATTGAACTTGGACACTGTGTCTTCTGAAAATACTATCAGAAAAAGATTGCCTTGCACCCTATTGGAAAGGACCATACCACCACCCACATTGTATTAAAGCTTCAAGACCTCAAATCTTGGATGCACATTTCACAACTCAAATGGGTCCCTCCAGACTTTTGGAACTTTATACAACCTGTTAATGCCTTTAAGGTAAAGCTGACCAGAAGTTTTTCCCCAGAAGGAGATAACACCTTAGACATGGACAGTTTTCCCAAAATCAGAGATTAAGATTTTTCTTCCATCATGAAGATCTTTTTTTTCTCTTTCTTATTTCCTAACATTCTAATCTTTTCCCTTTCCTGGAAGGAGAATTCACAGAATCATAACCCAAGAATGGACTTAGCAAAGGCCTATACTCAAGCAAGAAACCAGTGCAACTGTTGGGTTTGTGGACATCCAAAAAATCAGGAAACAATTCTATTAATATCAACACCTCTTCGTTTTCCAAATGACAGTCACTGTAAAACCCCATAGAAAAAGTAGAAAGTTATTCTTGATATTGTAAACAACATCACTACTTGCTTTTCTACACTCACTGGTAGTGATAACCTGATTTTCCAAGTAATAACCTAATCACAGCAACAAAAACACCTAATAGAATGCTAGGCAGTTTTACATTTCCTTTTTTCCCCCCAGTTGTTTTACTGTGTATGGTCTTGTATACAGAACTCCGAGTTGCACTTGTCTTTTCCCTGATTTTACTACTCAAGAGAGCTTAGTTAAAGCAGTAGCTAATACTGCTGTTTCTCTAGGCATTTCCACCAAAGACATTAAGGAAAAGAACACATGACGTGTTCATGGGAACTACTAGTGGTCAGTTCTTGGGCATCCTGATGATGATGCTGGTTATTCCAACGTTTTCTAAATTTTATATTTCTTTTAGTGGGTTCAAGAATACCATGACTTGTATTACCAGGCTAACTAAAAAATGAATATCTCTTTAAATCAGACCACTTTACAGCAAAACGTGAACCTAAACCATCACCTATAATCAGTAGGATTCATATAATGTTGAACTGAACTGTCTACATTGCCTGAAATTTGATTTGCTTCGATTCTGATTGGTTCATTTTATAGAGGCTCCTATTAAGAAGTACACTTCAGTCTTTTTATATCATTCTCTTGATAGTCATCATAATAATATCCCCAGTAGACTGTATCCTCTCAAGTCATAAATATTTGTATGTGGCCATTCACACAGTTTTGAATGGTATCATTTTGACTAGATTAGCAATAACAAAGAATTTTTTTAAAAATAAAAGTTTTATTGGAGCAAAATAGAACCACCACATACACAGGGAAAAGAGCACAAAAATTCAACTGATACAGAACAACAACTGAAAGTCACAATTAGCCAATGTAGTTTGCAATTACTTTTCAATTTCTTAAACAGATCCCCTCAACTTGCTTTTAAGATAGAAACAAAGATCCGAGTATCACATGTCCTCACTCATATAATGAACCTTGAACATCCAATGTAATACTATAAGAAAATTACTGACAGTAGTGGGAAACTATGGGGGGAGGAGATGGGATTAACGGTAGCAAATATCTGTCTGGGGACAGGGAAACACCTCTTATCAACAGGGTGCCTGAATGAAACGTATTTGTATACCTAACCCTTAACTGTACCCTACAACATCATAATAAAGAATATTGATTAATTTAAAAAAAATAGTTACGAAAAAAAAAGAGTCTTGCTAATTTGTCAGCTTAAACAGCATCAAATTTTCAAAAAATTAAAAGCTTCAGGAGGGAACCTGCTTTCAAGATAACAAAGGTGACATCAAGAGTCTCCACCTAACCGGACCAACTCTTTCTAAAAATTGCTTAACAGTAACTACTGAGTCTTATGTAATAGTCTACAAATCTCAGAGACCATCAGGGATGAGTCAGAACACTGATGCAGATGGTCCGGTAGAGAGAGAGGGCAAACAAAAGAGCCACATTTTCTTGTCAGACGAACCCATGTAAGAAAACCAGGGAGAAGCTGGAAAAATATAGGCAATGGCAGCTCAAAAGGAAACAGGAATTCTAAATACCACATATATTTAGACACCAGTGTGTAAGCTGATGCAATTAGAAACAGGCAACTTTTAAAAAATACCTGACCACAGGTCTTGGAGATCTCAAGAAAACAATCAATAGTAGATACAAGAGCCAAAAGTCTCCTCACTTGAAGAATAGGATCTAGGTATTCTTCCTAATGACCCCAAAAGGCAAGGAAATATACTGCTGCAAAAGCAATAAAGTAGTTCTGATTTATAAAAACAACAAAATTTTCTGCTTCTCTTCCATAATCAGTTCCCTTTAAAGTTTCAAGGAACTATAAACAAGAAAGCAAAACAAAAAGGAAACAGACAAAAAAACCCACTGATGATAAAGAGAAGCCTTTTACTCACATTATCGATTTGAAAAACAATACTTTGCCATGTTCTAAGTATGAACAATCCTGGGATATTCCCCTGAAAAGCAGGTGTCCAGTGGCTAAGAGAACTTGGAACTTCAAGCAGTTTTGAAAGGAAGATCAGCATGAGACAGAATTTCAAATTCTCAAATAGGCAATGTGTGGGGAAAATGAGGGAGGACATTTATATCTAGAGTTTTAGGAAGTTAAAATGAAGATGATAGGGAAGGGTAATTTATCAACAAAGAGAAAAGTTGGGAGGTTTCCAAAAAAAAACTTTGGTAGAGAAAATAGGAATGCTAAATACTGGGAAGCCTGTAACCAATCTACAATCGGTCCAAGTTGAAGACAAACTGTCCATTGAAGGTCTAAAATATATTGAAAACTAGTTGATGAATTTTTGCTCCTGAAATGATTTACAAAACATGTTCATTTTGGTCTCTCTTGCAATTTTCTTACTGAATTCATTTTTAATATAAAGAGTTGGATTTTTCTCTACTATGTCCCTCTAGTACAATTGATCAGCAATTTTCTATTTCAGCTATTTTTGTAAGTACTTATTAATTAGCACAGTAAACTCAGGGCTAAGCCATATAAACACATCCCATACTCATAAATGAAAAATTATAGGATGCAAATATATAAGATATTGTGTAGGTAACTGTCCCCCTACTTGAAAACTTGTTTCTAAATAAGTTTCTTTAGAAATCACTTTCAGTGTAAAAGAACATTATCTAGTTAAATATCAATAGCTATGACAACTTATTTTTCTTTTCAAGGGAAATCACAAAACAGGTGAACAACCAAGTCAGGGGTGGTTTTTCTATTTGATAAATACATCCAGAACTCTGTACAGTAAATAAAGTTTGCATGCAGTTTAAGTACTTTAAATGACATTTTAAGCAAATAAACCTTTTGCTTCATAATTTATGGTGTATAAGAACCCCCCTTAATAGCGATAGGGACCTTTTCCCCAGTTCCAAAGAGGAATCATGAAGACCAGGTACTTTCTTAAGTGTTTTCTGCACATCATACTAAATAACATGCAAAGAGTTCAACAACATTCTTCTTAAAGGTAAGTATTACTCTTTAAAATGGGCATGTTAACCACTGAAAAAAGTCCACTCAACTATTTCCATTAATTACACTGCTTCATTTGGTCATCGGTAGTATAAAAGAAGTCAAATAATATAGGATCAACAGGTTAGTTTATCCACTGGCTACTGCATATGACACCAAATATTCCAAGGCCAACATTCTAAGCAATATAGTTGTACTGGTTTGGATTTTCTTTATCTCTTTCCATGTAGTCCCGGTCAATTAAGGATTCTATTCTCTTCTTAAGATCAGCAGGCTTTACTGGAAATTTCAACTGGTTGTATACTTCTGAAACAAGGAGATTATGGCTAAGTGTCTTTCTCATCTTCATAATTCGAACAATTGCAGCATCAATTTGATGCTGTCTGTCTTGAAATACTCTTTCTGTAGTGCTTGCTTGTTCCTCAACCGTTTCTTTCACCTGGATTTGATTAATCTTTATCCTGAAAAGTTTGTGCTTGAAATCATCATTACAAATGAACTTGTCACCATCTTCGATATCTTTGCCCCTTGGATTTTTTGCCAGAACTCTAGCTTTGCCACAGGCTAATGACTGCAGTGTTCTCCTTAATTCTCCATCCTCTATTCCTGTAGCCTGTTTGATCTCTTCTAAGCTGAACTCCTCTCCCTCATTAAACATTAGTAGCACCAGGGTTTGAAAAAGAGAGACCTGGAGTTCTTTTTTACCTTCTTTAAATTCTGCTTTTAGCACACAGTGTCCTAGGGTAGACTGCCACTGAAGTTTCCTGCCACTATGCTTACCTAGGTAAAATGTCTTGAAAATCTCTTGGAGTTTTACCATCTCTGGTAGTAAATGGACTTCCATAGGCACATATGTTGGCCAATAACCCATTGTCAGGATATTCACAGTTAATTCAATATTCCCAAGTACGTTCTGATTCTGCATATACTGTTTGAATTGAATCATAATGTCTTTAGAAAGTTCCATAACTTTAAACATTCCTTCTAGTTTGTTGGTGAAAGCAGCTCCACATTCATGCTTAAGTTTGGACAGCATTGATTTTTCAGCATCTACAGATGCACTCTTCCCAACTAACAGGCGCTTGGCTAAATCTTTCTTATAGAAGGCCTCAAAAAATCCTTGCCATAGATAAATCTAAATATGATCATAGTTTTATCCAACATTTTCTCAAGTTCTTCATCTGTAGCTTCTTTGTTGCCGGCATGAAGCTTTGAATCTACATACTTAGCTATAAGTTCAGCAGGCTTATTTGGTCTCTTGTTAATGAATGTTTCAAATGCTTCTTTCATGGCGTTGATAAATTTTTCATTCTTCAGAAAGCAGATATCAATTATATGGTCAACTTTATCTTTAAAGTCCAGCAATTCTTGAACCATAGTTTTATCTTTTTCAGGATTAATTACAATCGTGCTGCCAAATGCCTTGATGTATTCAATCCACTGCTGTAAGAGAGCCTGAACTCCACCTCGAACTCTACTGAAGAGTTGATACAGGAGAGACAAATCTTGAATTCGGTTTTCATCAAGGAGGTTATTTAAACTTTTCCAAAGAATTGCTGTTAAGTGTTCACCTAAAAACTGTTTTTCAAAAGTAGCAATTAATGACTTCTGGGTGGTCTGATCTAAGTAAGTAATAAGTCTGTCTGCTTCTTCTTCTAGATGTTTGTTAACATGATGAAGGTATTCAGGAACCTCTCTTTCTTGCATTAATTTTTGGCCTTCAGCTGCATAGAGCCGGTTAGTTTCTTCCAAAAATCATTGCTCAAAAGAATCTTGATAAATTTGCAAATCAGAGAGCATACTTAAAAGGCTTCAGAGCAAACTTCTATCAATTGCTTCACCATTCCTTTCCCTCTCAATCAAGAGAAGAATGCCATCAATTGTCTTATTCTGGACTCTTTGATCACTTATAATATGAGCCCTAAATAACTCCAGTCCCATGTCCCAAATGGATGGTAGCATTGAATTCTGAAGAACATAAGTTCTATCCAAAAACAAAAAAATGCTCCTGATAATGATCATTTGTCTGCAATGGTTTTGCCAGCATCTATCGATCTTCTTTAGAAAAAGAACACTATCCAATGAATCCTCTCTGAATTGAGGAATCTATGCTTTGATGTGATATTCACAAATCTGTCTCAGCTATTTGTACAAGTTTGCAGAAATCTTGTAAGAACAAAGATTTTCTACAGCCAGGTACAGTTCTTCTAAGTTGTACTTAATCGAAGTACTATTCTGAATAGCTTCCACTGCTTCTTTCAGTTTTTGCCATGTTTCATCTGTGTAGTTTTCTGGTAATTTAGGCTTATCTGTAAAATCCAGATCAATCATACCAATTGTCAATGTTATATGGAATAACAGATTAAATACAATAGGTTGAGAAAGATCTCAAAATACTGAGCAGAAACACCTGGTGTATGCTTCAGTCCAAGGATACTAACCACCCCCGGAAAATGAACCCTCCACAAAAAAAAAAAAAAAGCACAAAGAATTATTTAACTAACATAATACCGTGACTTATGAATTCCATACTGAGACTAAATAAGTTTATGTACAATGGTGACAGAGAGTGACATCAATGCCTGAGGTTTGGGACAATCTCTCAAAATTGATGGGTTGACCAAAAGGGAAGAAATGATGAACTAAAGTTGGCCTGATAATGCCTCTGTATTCAAGTCCTTACATAAAAAACTGCAACCTAACAAGTATGTAAACTAGCCGAATAGGAATATACACTTATAACAAATACCTGGATCTTAATCAATTACAGTAGCTAAACTTCAGTCAATCACATGTGGCCAACTGGTTCAAATAAGGCAAAATACTAAGCTGTAACTAATTTATCTGTCTATACTTCACTTCTGTTTTTTGTTCATAATTGCTGTCTAATCATGTTGCAGGCCAAAGTTCCTAGAACCTGTTCTGGTTCTGAGAGCTGCCCGATTCACAAATAATTATTTGTTCAATTAAACTCTGCTAAATTTAACTTGTTAAGGTTTTTCCTTTTAAATATCTATGTATATATGTCTTTATAATTTTCTTTATTCATTCATTGGTTGATAGATATTTAGATTAATTCCATATCTTGGCTATTATGAATACTATTGCAATGAACATGGGAGTACAAATATCTCTTTGACATATTAATTTCATTTCCATTGGATATATTCCCAGAAGTGGAATTGTTGAGTTATATGATAGTTACATTTTTAATTTTTTGAAGAAACTCCATGCTGTTTTCCTTAATGACTGTACTAACTTACTTTCCCTCCAACAACGTACAATGGTTCCCTTTTGTCCACATACTTGCCAACATAATGTTCATCTTTTGGACAATAGCAATTCTGACAAGTGTGAAGTAATAACTTCACCAGTGTACTTTTAATTTTAATGTCTCTGATGATTCATGGTGTAGGACGTTATATATCTGCTGGCCATGCGTATGTCTTTTTTGAGAAATATTTACGTTTTTACTGTTTTTTAATTAGGCTCTTTGTTTACTTGCTATTGAGATCTTTGAATTTCTTATCTATTTTAGATATTGACCACTTATCAGATGTATGGTTTTCAAATATTTTCTTCCATTCTCTAGATTGTCTCCTCACTAGGTTAATTGTTTCCTTGGCTGTGAAAAGGATTTAATGTGATCTCATTTGTCTATTTTTGCTTTTGTTGTTTGTGCTTTTGGAATCATAGCCAAAAAATCTTTGCCAAGTCTGATGTTAAAAAGTATTTTTCCCTGTTTTCCCTATGTTGTCTTCTAGTAGTATTAGGTCTTATGTTCAAGCTTTTAATTCATTTTGAGTTGATTTTTATATGTGAGCTATACAAAAATAACTAATAGTGAGATAAGCATAAAATTTCATTCTTCTGCATGTGAATATACAGTTTTCCCAACATTATTTATTGAAGAAACTTTTCTTTTCCAATTTTGTGTTCTTGGCACCATTGCCAAAAATCAGTTGATAGCATTGTGGTATACTTTGAAATAAGGTAGTGCGATGTCTGTAGCTTTGAGCTTTTTGCTCAATATTACTTTGTGTCTTCAAGGTCCTTTGCAGTTGCTTACAAATTTTAAGACTCTTTTTTTACTATGCATTTGAAAAATATTCTTGGAATTTTGATAGGGCTTGCAATGAATCTGTAAATTACTTTGAGTAGTATGAACATTTTAACAATATTAATTCTTCCAATCCATGAGCACAGAATATCTTTCCATTATTTGTAACTTCTCCAATTTCTTTTTGTTTGTTGTTTTCATTTCTGTTTTTGTTTTTGAGTCAGAGTCTCACTCTGTCACCTAGGCTAGAGTACAGTGGCACGCTCATGGCTGGGCTCAGGCGATCCTTCCACCTCATCCTTCCAAGTACCTGGAACTACAGGCACACAGCACCATGCTCGGCTAATTTTTTTATTTATTGTAGAGATGAGGTCTCACCAAGTTCCCAGGCTGGTCTTGAACCCATGGGCTGAGGCAATCCTCTCACCTCAACCTCCCAAAGTGCTGGGATTATAGGCCGAAGCTACCGCGCCCAGTCACTTCTCCAATTTCTGTCATCAGTTTTTATCGATTTCAGTTATATATCTTTCATCTCCTTGGTTAAATTTATTCTAATATATTTTTGATGCTATTGTAAATGTGACTGTTTCTTTGACTTCTTTTTCAGATAGTTCATTATTAATGTATGAAAGAAAATGCTATAGATTTTGCATGTTGATTTTGTATCCTGCAACTTTTTTTTTTGTATCCTCAACTGAATTTGTTGATTGGTTTTATAGTTTTTTGGTAGAATCTGTATGGTTTTCTGTATGTAAGATCGTGCCATCTGAAAACAGACAATTTAACATCTTCCTTTCTGGTCTGGTTACCCCTACAGTTATGTGTCACATAATGGCATTTTGCCCATGATAAACCACATACATATATGATGGTAATATTATAAGATTATAATGGAGCTGAAAAATTCCTATTGCCTGCTGGTGTCATAGTTATCTTAATGTCATAGCTCAATGCATTACTCATGTGTTTGCACTGATGCTGGTGTAAACAAACCTATTGCACTACCAGTCAACTGAAAGTATATAATATACAATTATTGATAGTATGTTATACTTGAAAATAAGTGACTATATTACTGGTTTATGTATTTACTATGCTAGACTTTTTATCATTAGAGTATATCTCTTCTACATTAACGAAAACATTACCTGTGAAACAGCCTTAACCTGAGGCAATCCCCTCAGGAGGTATTCCAGAAGAAGGCATTGTTATCACAGGAGATGACAACTTCATGTGTGTTATCGCCTCTGAAGATCTTCCAGTAAAACAAGATATAGAGGTTTAAAACAGTGATATTAATGATCCTGATCCTGCATGGGCCTAGGCTAATGTGTGTATTTTTTTTTTTTTTTTTTTTGAGTTGGAGTCTCACTCTGTCACCCAGACCGGAGTGCAGTGGCCGCTCCCGGCCACCGCAGCCTCGGCCTGCTGGGCTCCAGCGATCCTTCCGCCTCAGCCTTCCGAGTAGCCAGAATTACAGGCATGAGCCACCACACCCAGCTGATTTTTTGATTTATTGTAGAGATGAGGTCTCGCTGCCCAGGCGGGACTCGAACCTGCGGGCTTAGGCAATTCACTCACTTCAGCCTCCCAAAGGCGCGGGATTACAGGCTGAGCCACCGAGCCCGGCTCTAATGTGTGTATTTTTAACAACAAAAAAAAGTTTAAAAAGTAGAAAAAATAAATATTTAAAGATAATAAAGCTTATAGAATAAGAATATAAAGAAAAACCCTTTTGTACAACTGTACAATATGTGCTTTAAGTGTGATGATGAGAGTTTAAAAGTTTTTAAAAATTTAAAAGTTAATAAAGAATTATAGTAAGCTAAGGTTAATTTATTGAAAAGAAATATATTTCCTAAATTTAGTGTAGCCTAAATGTACAGTATTTATAATGTCTACAGTAGCATGCAGGAATTTTCTAGGACTTCACATTTACTCACCACTCACTCACTGATTCACCCAGAGCAACTTCCAGTCCTGCAAGCTCCATGCATAATAAATGCTATATACAAGTGTACTATTTTTTAAATCTCTTAGACTATATTTTTACTGTACCTTTTATAAGACACAAATACTTATCACTGTACTATGGCTGGCTACAGTGTTCAGTACAGTAATATGTTGTACATACTTGTAGCCTAAGAGCAATAGGCTATATTATACAGCTCGGGTTTGTATTAGGCTATACAACCTAAGTTTGTGTAAGTATACTCTATGATGTTTACACAATGATGAAATCACTCAATGACACATTTCTTGAAATGTATCCTCATCATTAAGTGATACATAATTATATTTCTTTTTCTTGCCTAATTGCTCTGGCTAGGGTTTCCAGTACTATGCTGAATACAAATGGTAAGAATGAGCATATTTGTCTTATTCTTGATCTTAGAGGAAAAGCTTTCAGTTTTTCACTGTTGAGTATGAAGTTTGTTGTGGGCTTGTGATATATGGTCTATATTGTGCTTTGGTACATTTCTTCTATACCTATTTTGATGAGACTTTTTATCATAGAAGGATGTTGGATTTTTTCAAATGCTTTTTCTTTATCTATTGAGATAATCAAATGTTTTTGGTCCTTCATTCTGTTAATGTGGTGTATCACATTTATTGATTTGTACATGTTGAACTATCACAAGAATAAATCTTAGTTAATCAAGGTGAATGATTCTTTTAATGTGCTGGTGAAATTCAATCGCAAAGCTTTTTATGTCGGCTATAAAAATAGACTTTTCAGAATTTTTTACATTTTATTTTATCATAGAGATGTGGGGTACTAGTCAGGATCAGCTACACAAGTAGTTTTTGTGCAGGTCAAGTGTGGGCCTACAACTGACCCTCATCTCCTGGTTTGGGACCAGGTACCCTCTGTGTTGCTACATGCCCTTCCTCCCTCCCACCCCTGGCAGTGCTTAGTGGCTGCTGATCCCTCCTTCGTGCTAATGTGATTAATGTTTAGGTCCCACTTGTGAATGAGAACATGTGATATTCAGTTCTTTGTTTCTATTATAGATCACTAAGTATTATGGTCTCCAGCTCCAATCAATTTGCTGCAAAGTCCATGATTTTGTTCTCCTTTATGGCTGCATAATACTCCATTATGTATATGTACCACATTTTCTTTATCCAGTCCACCTTAGATGGGCAGTAGGGCTGGCTCCATGTTTTTGCTATTGTGAATGGTGTGGCTATAACCAAGTATGTGCAGGTGTCTTTTTTGCAGAATGATTATGTTCCTCTGGGTATATTCCCAGGGACTGCTAGATCA